ACAAGTAGCATAAAAATGTGCAGGTCAAGGCGGCGTCTAGGCGCCTGCCTTTTACACTGCCTAGGCGAACGCCTTTAGCACCCAGGCACGCACCTAGAAAAATCCGCCTAGAGCATGCCTCCTAGTCCACGACTAAGAAATTTAGAAAAAAGGCCCCCTCGGCGGGAAGGCGACCGAATTTTCGTTCATTGATACAAACAAAACTCTAGTTGTTGTTCATGTGAATAGTAAACACTAGTTACCATCCACATGAAGTAACAATAGTTCTTGTTCACATGAATCACATGAATAGTAAGACCTAGTTACTATTCAGACGAACAGTAAACCCTAGATATTCCTCACATTTAAACAGTAAATTTCATTTTGTTATATATATATATATATATATATATATATATATATATATATTACCATTAGCTTCTAGTAATTTGATCTCATGGAATCTTCTACTCTCCCCAAGATTCCTTTCCCAATAGTTACCATTAGCTCTAGATATTTCTATTGATAAAGCTGTGAGTAATGAGGGTGGTGTTCATAATGTTGGAGGACAGTTAGCTACGTTGAATACATTATGGGGAATCTGGACATTACATATTCATCTAAAGATGTATGACTTGTTGATAATTAAACAGCCAACCATTTAACAAGATATTCAGGTACGTTCTCCTGCCATGTCCTTACCCAGGTAGTAGGTTTACTGTAACCAGAGATGGGTCCTCTCACCACATTACAAATGCCGGGAATGCCACCATTCAGTCTTCTAAAGGTCCTATAAATCTCAAAAATGTTTTCCTTGTCTCTAATTTCAAAAGTAAACTTATTTCTCTATCACAATTGGTTAGAGAAAATCATTTCTTTGTATTTTCCTTGTCCCTAATTTCAAAGGTAATCTTATTTCTCTATCACAATTGGCTAGAGAAAATCATTTATTTGTATTTTTCCTGACTATGTTTCACTAAAGACCAACAATTGGGGATCATGTCTGCTGGCCGCTCGCAACGTGGAGAGTTGTACGCAGTTGATGATGAGTCAAAGAAGTTCCAATATCTGGTCGTGTCTGTTGTCTTAATAGGGATTCCATTGTGTAAAATCACAGATTTGGTCATTGCTATATAAACAAGGACTCCTCCAATATTGATCATCCTAGTGAGTTTATTGGTCATAATTGTCCGTTGGGAAAACATGTCAAGTTGCCATTTCATCATCATTATCCGAGCCTTATCTTAACTATTTGGGTTTGGCAACATGAATCTTGTTTCACCATTCCACTCTATCAAGGGCCATACCCTCAGTCAAACCATAAGTCACCAAATCTCTTCTCACTAGTTCTATCCTTTCCCCTTGCCCTTTTAGAGCCTTTTGCTTGAACCAAATTACCCCTCATAATCGGTGTTGTTCTAGGTCAAACCTGCAAATGACCAGCCCACATAAGCCTATTTTCACCACCGAACATTCCGTCTCATACAACACGGCTGGTCTCAAAGTTGTCCTAACTCCCCCTTCAATTCATTGGTATGCAGCAATCTTCCTCAATCTCTCCATTCTCATGGATTATCGACTCCAAATATCGAAAATAAAAATGAAGTGGTAGAAAGGAAACATATACATAAAACTGACGTTAGACTATCTCCTATGTTTGCTAGTGGAGTTCAAAAGTTTTTATGGACTGTCCATACAGCCACCTTCATGATAAATAGACTTCCAATAGATGCGTTGGATGGAAAATCTCCATAACGTACAGTACTTTAAAGAACTCCTGACTATTATATCTTGAGGAGTTTTGGATCTTGTTGTTCTGTCCATGTTGATAGTAGTCTTAGGAACAAACTTGATCCCAAGGCAGAAATATGTATTTTTGCAGGATACTCGAATGATCATAAAGGCTATAGATGTTATTGTCCTCGAACAAAATGGATTTTTGTTTATCGACTTGTAACATTTGATGAGTTGAAAATGTTTGCTCCTCCAAAGAATGATATTGGAGGTTAAAGTCCATGTCCAACGGAAAGAAATAAACACAAGAATGACACGAACTACTCTTCATAAGTCGACATCAGATGCCGAAATTTGTTGACCTCGATGTTGTGAAAGGAGGAGATGATGAAGATATTGTTCCTTGTAATCAAAGTGAAGACTTAATGACATTCTTTGAGGATGACAAGCTTACAGGCCAAAGTAGGGGCCATGTTCAATAAGTTGAATGCGGCCACCTAGGCGGTGGGAGGGGGGGCTAGGCTGCCTAGGCAGGCGCCCAGACTCAAAGGCGGTCGATAGTTTAAAAAAAAAAATTAGATCCCCCACACCTCCCCCCATTTTATTGTATATAGAATTGTCTGTTTTATTATTTAATAAGTTTTGTATATAAAATACTGTTAAGAATTTAAGATGCCAGAAGCACAAATCAAACCTAAACATTTACAACTTTAGACTGTAAATGACATAATTATAACTCAAAAGCAACATTTCGAAAAAAAATTTGATCTCTCAAAGAATCTTCAAATCTAGTTTTTTTGAAGTTGTTTCTCACTCTAAAGTTCACTAAAATTGTTTTGGGGGGCAAGAATGGTCCCCCCAAACCCTTATCCCCCATTTTAAGGGGGTAAAATGACAGTTTTGCCCCCTCCCGAATTTGTTTTCCGCCAAACTTGTCCAGGCCGCCTTTTCCTGCCTATCGACCACCTAGTCGGGTGCCTAGTTCTGGCCGTCTAATAGTGTCCGCTTCATAAATGCCTAGGCGTTGTGTCCAAAAGTCAGCCTAGGCGGTTGGACGGAGGACTTTTCGATCATTTGTAGGGGCTCAACAAAAAATGGGACACATGAAGTCACTGTATACAAAAGAAGAGCTAAGATGGGCCAGCAAACAAGCACATCAGAAAGACCAGCAAATGAACACACGAACCAGCCCATAGAGCATCTGAATCACACCATGGTAAGCACTCTAGTTGATGCATATGCTGAGGCCACTACTTTGAGGAGGATGACTTGCATTAAACATCCTATTGAAAGATGGATAAGCTATAGAGGGTTTCACTCACAAATATCAAGTATTCTCGAGTGAGATCCTTAAGAGAAACGTCAACATACTTAGAGGCAACAAAGGATAAGAGGTGAATTGAAGATATGCAAGAAGAAATCAAGGCCATACAAGTAAATAACACATGGGAGATTGCTAAAAGACCTGAAGATAAAATGTGGTAGGTTGCAAATGGGTATATAAGGTGAAATACAAATCAGATAGAAGTCTACAAAGACTCAAGGCAAGGTTGGAAGCTAAAGGATTTAATCAACAGCACAGACTCTATTATGAAGAAACCTTCAGTCTACTTGTTAAGAATGTGACAGTACACATTATTTTATCATTGGCCTTGGCCTATGATTAGTCACTCTACCAGCTGGATGTAAAGATTGCATTTTTTCATAGGGAGTTAAGAGAGGAAGTTTACATGGAGCAACCACGGGGATGTATTGAGGCAGATTCAAGAGAGCACGTATTTAAATTGAATCGCTCAATTTTTGGATTGAAGCAAGCATAAAAAACATGGTTTCAAAGTTTTCATAATGCATTAAAGAAGAAAGGATTTAAGAGAGCAAACGTTAACCACTCCATATTCGTCCAAAGAAGAAAGAATTGTGCTTCTATATGTTGCGAATATTGTAACTACAAGATGTACTAATTTCTAATGTGCAGATATTTCTTAATGATAAATTCCTAATGAGAGATTTGGGAGAACTAAGGTATTTTCTTCCGCTAGAAGTAGATCGAGGTGCCAGTGAAAATAAGCTATCTCAACAGAGTATGACTCACATTTTTTATGAAAAACTAATAACTAATATTAATGAATAACCCTTTGGGAAAACCTGTTGCCATGAATGAACGACTGCAAAGGGATGAGGCAGAATTGTTAAGAGAACCGGAGAAGTACGGGAGTATTGCAGGGGCTTTACAATATCTCACACTAACACAACCAGCTATATCATAAGTGGTGAATAAGGTATGTCAATTTATGCATATGCCCACTTTCGGATTGAGAAATTGGGGATGCTGTATATGCACCATTTCTGTTTATATTTAACAAATAGCAAATGGCCAATTTCGGATTTTGCCATTTCTCTTCTTTCCATGTAATATCTGAACATCTTCTGCATTTCCCCTTGTGATAATCGCTCTGAATTAATAACAAAATTTTCTCATTATACGTACACCAGCAAAGAAACTTTTCGCTTTGCAGTTCTCATAGTACTTAGCCAAGAAGAAAGGCGAAATCAATATGCAAAGCATGCAGATAATTGAGTCATGAGACGAATTCCTTCAGTCATAAGGAGGTATATTGATCATAAATAGAAAAATTATACAGTTGACATCTCAGAAATTTGAGTTTTATGTCCAATGACCCATTTCATGAAAACAGAAACTCGCAAAAAATGTGGAAAGTTAGAAACTAGCCATATCATTTGTTCTTGATGCAACCCTTGAATATACTAAAAAAACATAGAAACTAGATATCCTGGCCTATCATTTGCTTAAACTGTGCTTTTGGCATATAATATGGTGCTATGCTAAACTCAATAATCCCATCAGTAAGAAAGCTGATGAAGGCTAAAAGTGAACCTAATAAAGGATATCAGAATGTCATCTTGGAAATGCTTCAGATCATACAAGAAGCGTATGTTAGGTAGACCCAGATATGCATGTCAGTATCCAATAAAAACGTCCAGTCTTAAAAAAGGCCTTCCTGACAGGACATGTGCATAAGTCATTTTCCGAGAGGGGGACAATGGGAGTTTAAGTGACACTGAGTACTTTACCTCACATTTCAGTAAAAAAAAAAAAAGGGATATTAAAAATATGGTTATGAAGAAATGTCCAAGTTTCCATAAAGTGTTAGGCACGTGTTGTGTCCTTTAGTGTATTCACAGGTACCAAAAACAATGGACACGTGTGCAAGTTACATAACAGAAAACCCTATTCAATAGGAAAAGTACTTGCTATATTAGGATACCTCAAGGGAACAGCGAACATCTTCTACAGATGGCCATATTATTTGTGCTTTACCCAATCCTAAAGGGATTCCATCATCTGATGTGCCAGAAGACATTGACAAAGATAGTTCTGTCATCCACTTGTCATCCAGAGACCCAAGAGAGGAAAACTGCAACCAAAAATAGCATGTTTTCATTCGACTTGCTAAGCTACCATTAGATATTTTTTGCACTTAAAATCATCAAAAATACAATACAAGTAGCAAAGGACACCACATGTAGTAATAATCAGATGTAATTCTAACATGCATTGACCTGTTAGTAACATATCATTTTGTATCTCAGACATTTCAACCAATGACAACACCTGATGATTATCCAGAATGCATTTTTTCTGAAGGAACGCATTTTGAGTTCAATTTTAAAATTCGCATGTTCCTCATGTTTAATAAATTCTAGGTGACAAGCAGTGTTCGCAAAACCGGCCGGCAAGAACCGGAACCGGCAGTTAGATCGCTACCGGTGGGGTGGCGATTCCGGTTAGGGCCGGTTTTAAGGTACATCAGGTAAGGGGGCACACTCCAAAAAAAATCGGGACCAAAACCGACCGGCTCCATGTCGAACCAACGGTTTTTCTTCAAAACCAGTCGGTTTTCTAATCGGTCCGGTTTACCATTGTTTTCGTCCGTTATAACACCGATTTAACGCATCAAATAACGGCCATTATTTGACACATGCCCGTTATTTTTCATAGAACAAGATTTTGCAGCTTCTTTTTTCTTCCATTTTGTAGTTTTTTTTGTTTTTTCGGTCAAATATTGATGCTATACACCATAAACTTTCTATAGATCATCGATTATTGAATCAAAAGTCGAAAAACAAAGAGTTCTTGGCGGATTGAAATGGGGATTTTTGAAAATTATAAAGTTTTGAAAATTAGAAATTTCCGCCATTCTATCAAATGCACCTTTAATACGTCATATATTTTCATAAAAATGGAGTGCTTTGATTGATTGTTGAAGGATCCAACGTTTACATATTTCAATTTTTCCAAAACGATGAAGATTTGAGGCTTGTTTGGGCCTGAAGTACTACTGCTCGAAAAACTGTTTTTATCCAAACAAATTGATTTCTGATCGATCAATTCATCGATTTTTATGGAATTGATCACTGAAATTTGATCATAAAGGCCTTATATATCAAATAAACTAGTTATTTTGATTTACTATTGATTACATGTTTTTATATCAATTTTTTTTGCTTCGTTTTTTCCTGAAATTTTCTTGAAGTGAAAAATCCGCAATTTTTTTAATAAAGATATCAATAGTGAATAAAGTTTCGTGAAATTTGGGGCATTTGAATCTTAATTGAAGTATCTATCATATCCCCATGTCAATTTGTTCAAAAAATGAAAGATTTGAGGTTGATTTCGACTCTAAAGTTTTTGTGTTCTCTGGCTCGATATTAGGGTTCTTAAAAAATATTTGTGTCTTTAAATTTGCTGGCAAAATTTAAAATTTATAATTTTCTGGCTGGAATGGACTGGGCATGTTACTTTCACGAATACCTTGGTGATGCCAAAGCAGATTTATGAAATCATGTCCCTAGGTAAAATGGTTTTTATTGTCAATAACATTAATTTCATTATAATTTATTTTTCTAAATGGATTTTGCAATTCTTAACCACATAGATATACAAAATATTTACAAGGGTGACTACAACAACAACAAAATCAACGTAAATGTTTACCATGATACAAGTTCCAGCAAGGTAAAAGGTTAGTGATGAACATATGTTTCCAAATTAAGACACAGCTGATACAATTTCAGGCACAAGATTAGGCAAAATGTAGCATAATAACCCTTTCAGCAGCTCTGCAATTTTGTTTTGATTTTTAAGAACTTATTATTGAAAGCCCCCTAAAAGAAAAAGAGCTTACAATTCAGTGACTAAAATTAGGTAGGCATACATACTGTGCACCATATGGGGACCTACAATCGACAAATCATAGAAGTGGACCAAAGACAAGTGGGAGCGAGGCTAGATGTCAAGAAAACACCCCATGCCTCCTCTAACTTCCAGGCCCATTTTGAACTTTTCATAGGAAAATTTAGACGGTTAAAATACCAGGTTCCTTGTCTCGCTAGTCCCCATCTCTGTAAGGAAGTATGGCTTCCAAAGGCATGTATGGGAACTTGCTTGGTGTCAATTGGGCCATGATACTAATGACATCCTTGGCTCTTCAGAGAATATAAATAACATTCTTGTTTTGATCCTTCTAGTCTTCTCAGGATATATGTCATTCATGTTGCCTCCAAATTTATTCAATGTCTATGATCCCAAACATGAATAGTAGGTGATGCTAGACAGAATGTCATTATCTGGTGTATATCGAGACTAGTATGATACCTCGGGTTACTATAATGCTGTGATAGCTTCCTACAGCTAGCCACACATTAGATGCAGTGAACAACACTAGAAAAAAATTGAAAACTTGAATCATATAATTACTCAACACTACAGCTTTTAAGGGCATTCAAGTGCCAAAAACAAAAAAAAAGAAGAAGAAACGGTGGGTGAGGACGTGTCAATGAAGCCCAATACAACCCATCGTGCTAGAGACTGCATCTTGAATCATTGAACTCTACCAGCTACTCCCAAATGAAAGATTAAAAGTAAAAAGCTCAGAAGAAAGAAAGCTCATCTAAATCTTAAAAACATGTGAGAGTACACTATGGAAAGTGGAGTTGCCAACTCACCTAAATCTTCAAAAAAGTATGAAAAAGTGACCTATTTCAGTTCAGAAAGTTCAGACACGCTGAGTAGAATTGAGGCAACTTAATAGTACATCTTCCAGAAGGGTGTGGAGGGGCGCTTTACTTTGATTGTTTAAGATGGACGCCTTGTGTAAACCACACCCCAATGTAAATCCCACCCCAATGTAAATCCTACCATACAAGTTGTTCAAACATATCTAGAACAAAATGAAATTGAGGTCGATCACCCTAAATAGAATATTCATAATTGAGGGATTTACTATTGGACTTTTTGTCAGCTCCTTACACAAAAGAGGGAATACAAAGGAACTTAGAATTATGATAAACCTTCCTCAATTATCATGCACACAATAATTTGAACAAGAAAGATATTCACATCCAAGGGATTTTCAATCAATAGTTTCACTGCCTCTACTGGGAAAACAATCAACCTGAAATTCAAAATAAGAGACTCCTTGCACTGTAAAAGGCTTCCATTTCGGATGTTTAAGATACAACACAAACATATGGACTAAGGTGTTTATGAGAAGCACTTGAGATGTCCAATCTTGATAAGATCCAAGAATATTTATTAAATACCATATTGGATTCATTCTGGATTTCAAAACTTAGGCATGATATTTATACCTTGTATCCTACAATGACCAACATATTTCACTTAACAAAAGGCATACAATGCATTAAGGCAAGGAAAATTTCTCAATTTTTTGGAAAAGAACACCCAAACATCCATATTTTCATCAGAGTGCATTCTCTCCACAATTAGCAAGTCCAGAAAGAAACTAGATATACCTGATAAACAAGGGGAGAACCCAGGAATTCTTTCTCAAATTTGCTTTCCTTCAAAATAGTTTTCAGTTTCATATGGCCCCACTTGTTCAACTTGGGCCCTTGGTGATAGCCAGGAATAGAAGCAATCAGTCGTACCTGAATAAATGACAAACAAGCATAAAAGAAGCCCAAATACATTAGAAATTGCAAAATTTTAAGTATTCAAAGCAATTTCTATTCATTGTTCTTATTGAGCAGGTCTAACAAAATAAATAACAGAAGTTGCACAATTTAATCAACATAGACTCACATACAATTTCAACCAATGTACAACCACACACCACAAAGCACATAAATGTTTACCAAAACATAGTTTACGAAAGCGGACTGAGATTGGGACTCATCGTGGTCTTGATCTGAGTCAAATCGGTCTGACACAGCCAACTCCCAACAGTATATACCAAGTCTCTTTAAGGGCCTGTTTGATAACTGGAAGGTAAATGTCTCTCGGAAATTGGAAGTTCTTCTTTGCTGAGAAGAAAGAAGTTATTTAAGGAAGTTTTGAGTGTACCTGCTTCATAACTTGCTGGAAAGCTAAAGAAGTTCTAGGTACCTGTGTTTGACAGCCTATTGGAATAAAAGTCATGTTTATTTAAATATTATTAAAATATTATATATTAAATATTACTTTTATATAATATAATATATATATATCTTTATTTATTTATTTATTTATAATATATTATATTAAATATATATATATATATAATATATAATAGTACAAAAAATATATATGGACATAATTTAAAGGGTGTGATTTCTATGAGGTTGCAACTTTAAACAATCCAATTAAGGCGCACCTCCAAATTTTAACATAATATGGAATGTTGGTGTAGAAAAGCATTAGGATTGCCTTAAAATCTATTTTCATATCTAATTATCAAATTTTAATCTACAAAAATGGTTAAAATCAAGTAGTTCAATAAACATATGAAAATCTTGAAAATGGACGGTCTAGATAATGTGTTGCAAGATGCACTATTTTTGGTACTCAAAATATTTTTCTTTTCATATTCCTACATCTCGATGTCGAGATGATCAATTTTTCAGCATTAAAACAACATTTTCCGATGTATTTTTTAGGTGCGTATGTAATTCTACATTTAAGGTTGCAACCTTATATAACTTTTTCCTAATTTAAATAAATAAATAAATATATATATATATAATAGTACAAAACAAACATATGGACATAATTTAAATAAAAATATATGATATCTATAACATATTATAATATATAATATAGTGTATTTTATATTTATTTTATTATATAACATATAATATATATTAAAATATATTATATCACATAAATGTATAATATATATAAATATATTTTATATAATATATATAACATAATATAATATATAACATAGTGCATTTTATATTTATTTTATTACATAATATATAATAAAATAGATTATATTATTAAAGTGCATCTTAATGAAATTTTCTATAAAACAGTAGTGCATCATCATAATGTCAAAACATTTTACAATTTAGCAGATATTATCCCAAGCCTACAAGAGAGTAAAACATTTACTACTTTTTCGGATATTATCCCAATCCTTAAAGCAAAAATAAATGAACTGCAAATCAAACAAGATGTGTGATTCAAATGTCATATAAATGAGAGAGTGCCTATCTATTCTAAGAAACATCTTATTTTAGATGCCAATTAGATGAAATATGTCAGCCAATGGCATTCCCCATCCCCAATGTTCGAACATACGGCTCAGCCATGGAACTTGGACCCTAATTGGCCCAAGTTACTCGGGTGATTCTGAGTCACCTCGCCCGAGTCTGCCTCGAGCCACCCCAAGAGCCCAAAAATAGGGAAAATGACAAAATCAGAAAAAAAAAAAAAAAAAAAAAAAAAAAAATTAAAAAAATTAAAAATTAAAAATTAAAAAGTATATGCAACAAAGAAAGTAGAAAAATAAAGTTAAAAGTACATAAATTCTAGGAATTTAAATTGAAAATGTCAATAGAAGTTTCGAGGCCGGTCCTTCAATCTTTGCCTTCAAGGTGAATTATGCCTTCAATATTTGCCAAAGCTTCCTCATACACCCCAAAGTGAAAACCCTAAGCCAACTTTTGGATTCAAGTTAAGATCCAGCTCATCTAAGCTATGTAAAATTTAGGGTGTTAGTAAATCCAAATTTAAAAACTCACAATTCGGAGAGTTTTCTTGTTTTTTGGTGAGAAAGAAGTTGAAATTAAAGTAAAGAAGAAAATAGCTTGATAGGATCTAGAGAGAGAAAGAGAGGAAAGAAAATAAAGATGATGAAAGGAGAGAGACAAAGGGGTCACTTGTAACCCCTACTCCTCTTATAACATTCAGTAGGAACCCTAACTAAAACTTATGGACAATATTGCCCTTATTTAGAGACTAAGACAAATAAGGACTAAAGAAAAGAAAAATAACAGTTGTCCATTAAATACAATAAAGCTTATTCTTTTTATTTCCAACACTCCCCCTCAAGCTGGTGCATCGATATCAATCATGCCCGCTTGCTGGTGACATCATATAATATGTCCTGTCCAACAGTGTTGGCGAAGGTACCTGAAAGTTGATCATTAGACTTCACATGAGGAGTCTGAATGATCTTGGTTGCAACCTTCTCTCTGATAAAGTGACAATCTACTTCAATGTGTTCAGTCCTTCCATAAAAACAGGAATTTTTTGCGATATGAATGGCTGCTTCATTGTCACAATATAGAGTCATGGGAAGCCTGAACACCCAAATCAAAAAGAACAGTTTTAATCCACATTACTTCGCATGTACCATGAGTCATCGCTTTGTACTCCGCTTCAGCACTTGATCTTGCCACGACATTTTGCTTCTTGCTCTTCCAAGTAACCAGGTTTTCCAAAATGAAGGTACAATGGCCCGTTGTGGATCTTCTATCAATTTGGCAACCAACCCAATCAACATATGTGTAAACTGCAACATCAAGATGCCCCTGATTTGAGAAAAATTTCCCTTTCCCAAGTGCAGACTTGGGATATCTTAATATTTTGTATATAGCATCGAGGCGGGGTTTACGTGGTGCATGCATAAATTGGCTGGCCACGCTAACCACATAAGAAATGTTTGGTCGAGTCATTATGAGATGTATAAGCTTGCTCATCATTTGATTAGGATTTTTTTAGTAGCTTTCCCCTTCCTACATGAAGTTTATGAATGACTTCTACAAGAGTATCTGTAGGTCTAAATACCAACATTCTTGTTTGTTGTGACAAGCCCAACACATATTTTCTCTAGGAGATGATTGTCCCTATCTTTGATCTTGCCACTTCAACTCATTTGTTGTAACAAGTCCAACACATATTTTCTCTGGGAGATGATTATCCCTTTCTTTGATCTCGCCACTTCAATTCCCAAAACATACTTAAGGGGTCCTAAATCTTTGATATCAAACAGCTTACTTAAATAAGATCTAAGATCCTCAATGCCCTTCATATTATCCCCTGCCACAACTATATCGTCAACATAGACAATAAGGACAGCAATTCCAGTAATATCATTTTTCACAAAGTGGGTATGATCAGCTTGACTCCTTTCGAACCCAAATTTCAGCGTTTTTAAACCTTGCTCTAAGAGACTATTTAAGTCTATATTTTGCCTTCTTTAACTTGCAAACTTTACTTGTATCCCCCTTAATCTGAAAACCAAGAGGCATGGCCATATAGGTTTCTTCTTGAATGTCTCCAAGTAAGAATGAATTCTTAACATGTAGCTAATGAAATGGCCACGATTTATTAACAGTTAATAGAAGAATGATCCTCATAGTGTTCAATTTGGCCACAGGAGCGAAAATATCTTGGTAGTCTATACCAGGAGTCTGGGTGAAACCTTTTGTAACCAATCTTGCTTTGTGAATTTTAATGGTACCATCAGCTTTGTATTTCACAGTGAATATCCATCCACATCCTACGACCTTCTTCCCTTCAGGAAGGTTAGTGATTTCCCATGTATTATTCCGCTCAGGAGCTTGCAACTCGTCACCCACGGCATCAGTTCGTTGAGGTTATGAAAGTTATGAAAGTGCTTCTTCAAAACTAAAGGTATTTTAATAGAAAACAGAGCAAACATGAAGGCACGATGAGAGAGAGACACAATTGTAGAATATGAAGTTTTCTATTAGGATTATCTGAGAGGGTGAAAGAGCTACCTGGGCCAGGAACAGTTTCTGATTCCAGGTTAACATTTGAGGTATGGCCACTTAGAACTTTGAGTTTTACCATTTCTTCATCCTGGTATACGTCTTCAACTCCTTCTCCGAATGGGAACCATTTCTTTCAAATAAACCACTCTCTTCATGTAAAAGTGGAGTGGGAATAGAAAAGGGAACAACGGATGTGCTCTCTTCACTAAATTGTATCTTATTCTCCCCTTGAAGCGAGCACTCATGACCTGTCGAGGAGAAGTATGAAACAGATTCAAAGAAAGTGACATCCATGGAGGCATAGCAGACCTTAGTAATAGAATCATAATATTTGTACCCCTTTTGATGAGATGGAGATCCAAAAAGTTCATTAGGCAGCTTTAACGTTAAGCTTGTCCCTCTTTGGACCAAAGATGTGGACAAAACATACACAACCAAACACCTTGGGAGGCACAAGGAACATGAGTGAGTTGGGATGAACAATTTTCGCAGGAGATTTTCCTTAAGAAAAAGAGAGGCATGTGGTTTATTAAAAGGGCATAGTGAGGACTGCTTCAGACTAGAAAATTTTTGGAACTTAGTTCGAGCGACTTCCAAGACAGCTAAACCATTCTGCTGAGGTGTGTATGGACATGTTGTTTGGAACTCAATCCCTTGATCATGAAGATAATCTCTAAGTTTGTTTGACACATACTCACCGCCATTGTCAGACTGCAAGACTTTAATTTGCGCATCATATTGAGTTTTAACCATTTCGTGATAGACTTGGAATAGATTAGCAACTTTATCTTTGTATTTCATTAGATAGACAGTTATAAATCAAGAACAATCATCCAAACGTGCAAGGTGGATGAAACATTAACAGGAGTAACGTGTATGGTTCTCTTTCTCTCGATTGAAATAAGAGAACCATCTAGTCTTTTAAC